TGCAGAGTTGGGAAACGGGGTGATGGGAAACGGGGTGAAATTGGAGGACGCTCGCAGAAACTCATTTGAGATCAACAAATGATTTGTTGCCCGCATGGAGGTGACCTTGGATCAGAACCATGAGGCCTTGCAAGTCTTCAGAGAAGCGCAAAACGTTTATGAGGCGATAGGTGTCACTGCGAGCCCTGGCTACGCGAATTTGCTGCTGAACATCGGACATCTTCAGGCCGGATAGGCTTCGATGGGCTTCACGGCCAGGGCTTTGTCCCGTGTTCTTCAGAGATCCCGTGTGCAAGCTACCCTTTTGTGGGCCAACAAAGGCTTTTCAGACATGTTCATACAGGTGTTACCTGTGTGAGTCCAGAATGGGACCTTCTTCTTGTGCACAAGTCTTTGATAGAGGCTTTGCAAGCATTAAATGGGGATTCATAGCCTCCACCTCGACTTTGCCCTTTTTGGCTATGAAATTAGGCGCAGAAATTGGATGACTTGGATTCGGCTGTGGCTGCCTTCAGAGAAGCTCGTGACATCTACATGGAGGTCAAGGCGAGTGGAATCGCTGTTGCACAGGCGCGGGTGGGACCAACGGTGCAGGGACATGGGTGACGTCTTCGACCAAATGGATGGGTGATTAATCAGTCCAGATTTGGATTTTTCCACTCTTCCGTACTTTTTTCTGTTTGATTCCTTGTGGGAACAGTGAGCTGCATAGAGTTATACAAGTCTTAGGCATGGCAATCAAAAAGTGTGCAATGACTGTGCAACAATAAGTCAAGAAACAATGTCATTCTACCTGTCGACCGTGCAGGTGAATTTCAACTTGGGACGGGCCTTGCAGGAGAAAGGCCTTAGGGGAGAAGCTACCAAAGCCTACGAACGTGCCATGAAAGAATATGAAGCTTGCGGCGAAACAGATCAAGCAGACTACGAGGAGACACCAAAAAATCAGACATTCAGGTCACCTAGACCCTTGCATTTTTGGACCCTGATGGGGATAACCTAATAGCAATGGCCTCCAACATCCTCCAACTATATTAGACCTTTCTTCCTTTTCTTTTTTTCGTTTCTAATAGCGATGGCGTCCAACCTACTAGCTATGGCCTCCACCCTAATAGCGATGGCGTCCAAGCCTTGCGTGTCTGGATTTCGAGCCGTTTCTGCCGTTGGCTCATTCCAAAAACGGCAGGAAGCCATGCAGTTCTGCTCCGACGGAGGCTTTCCTCAAATGAAATGCACCATCCGCACGGTCCCACGGAGTGCCCGTCCCCCGAGCCACATCCCAGATGGTCTGACCAGGTAGGCGCCCGAAGTGGGAAGGCCCACCGAAGCCGTCTGAACGTGGAGGTGTAGCGATTCTTGCACAGTGTAGCGATTCTGAACTCCTGCTCTTTTGGATGCTTCTGAGCATGTCTCCAAGAGATATTGTGCTCCAAAGAAAAGCATCCAGAATTCTGAAAAGAATGATGCGAAAAGAAACAGATTGAGATAACCCAAGTCTTGCCTTTTGGGCCTAGCAGATGCCTGTGACCGAACTATCTCACTGGATGCCACATGCTTCAGGTGCCTTGATCTACCAGCTTTGCGTCAGTTGTGTCAACCCGGATTGGTTGATTCTTCCTGAAAGGCTCGGGTAGCTGCCGGGTAGCTGGTAACAATTCACCCTTGAGTCAAGTGCACCGAGATCACTTTCATTCCGAATCGAATCAGATCGGTTCAGATCGAAAGCGAGACTGGCACCCACTGACCTGACCACAGGCGAACAGTAGCCTGAACCTAGTTTCAGGATTCTCCACGCAACACACGGGTAACAAGAAGCTAGTAGCAACAAGTGCATCGCTACTAGTAACAAGTGCCTTACTAGTAGTAACAAGAAGCTAGTAGTAACAACACTGCTCGGGTAACAGGGCCTCTTTTTCCTTTTTTCGTAGTTGTGAGCACCTATCAAGAATATCAAGCAAAGCCACAACCAAAGTAAATTATGTCCACAACTATATAAACATGCTCATAACAAACCCGGTGCAAGAGAAACCACTAGCAGAGTAAACCGGTGTAATTACTAAACCAGAAGAACCACCTGGTTCCCATTTGGTTTCTCTCTTTCACAACATAGGCCATCGCTACCAGGAGCAAGGACGCTACTAGTAGCTCCCGGCCTTACTATTAGGAACAAGGACGCGCAAGGACGCTACTAGTAGCTCCTGGCCTTACTACTAGGAACAAGGACGCTACTAGGAGC